AAGGGTTAAACAATCACTGTAACAGACACAATCACACACACACACAAACACACAAGTCAAATCACTTACATTTTAGATGCAATATTGACTTTTTTCTGTTTCAGCAGCGAAAATAGTTAAACAAAGATCACAGCAGAACCATCGAGCATCTCACAGCAACGCGTTCTCATTACTGAATGATTCAGCATTTTGAACGAATCGGTTGACTCAAAGATTCAATGACCAATCCATAATCTGTCTCATTCATGAATGACTCAACCGTTCGAACGAATTGTTTGAACGAATGAATCAATGACTCGCTCATTAAGACGGTCGCCTGGCGACACCTAATGACGGTTTAGTGTTATGTTTAAAAGTATCATTCTTCCCAACGATTTTTAATTGACTTATTTAAAACAATCTCATAACATTATTTAATGCATTGTTATTTTTCAGTGTAAACGATTTAATTTGATCAGCCCTACCTAGGGTAAAAGCCATATAGTGTCTTATCATTCTAAATAATTGAATTTATTGATCAAATTTACAAATTAAAAATGAAAGATGAAGCATACATTTAATAAGACTGGACCGGGGTGCCCTGCATATATTACAATTTGCAGATTTAAATATACCATTGCCCCCCACCGTCAATTTGATGTGTGTGTTTGTGTGTGTGTGTGTGTGTGTGTGTGTGTTTAATAAAATCATTTAGTCACTACAATTAAAACCTGAACGGGTTTGCTTACTAAATTGTGAGCTGAACGAAAGTTGCAGCAAAGATCAGCAACCGGAGTCAAATTTCATTAATCACGAGTTGAGAGTGAGCGTCTCTCTCTGCTGTGTTATGCTGCATCACACGGGCATTCATAATGGTGCGCGTCCATGACGATGAGCGAGCAGAACAGAGTGAACGTTTTTTAGTTCATTCCTACTTCCATAGGAATTCCCTCGAGCGCTCTGCACGCGCCACCATTATCAATGTCCGTGTGGACGTCCGCGATCGAACAGTGGAAACATTGGCTACTCCGTCATTTTATTCAAGAAGATCATTCAAACTGCAAAGTGTTTACTTATTTTTGGATACTCGCAATCAAACACAACATTGTGATTTTGTAAAATACATTCAAGAAATCCGCCCCCGAAATGGGGCTTCTTTTAAAATGAAACGAAAATGCTCACAGCTGCACGTCTTGTGGAGACGTCCGTTACTTCCGCTTTCAAGTTAGCGACTTTAAAGCCCCCAGCGGAGTCACGGTGGGAAAATATTCCCATAGTAGCATCCCTACAATTTAATACAATTGGCCTACCTGATTTTGAACACAAGAGGGCAGTAAAGCACTGTGAATGATTTTTATTTTTTTATTTTTTTGGCTAAACAACCATTCTGGCTGTTTTTAAACTTAAACATAAATCTTAAATTGAAAAAAAGGAATACAATGGGTTTAGTTCTAATATTAGTATAATTTTATAGAAAAATAAATGGTGTATAATTACATTTTAGAAAGATATGAAACATTTCCTGATTCTCTTTTTGACATAATCCCTCGCCATAGCAAAACCGTTTGAGATATTCAATATCCGTTCACAATTTAGCATCTTTAATGTATTTTCATCAAGTTGAAAAAGTTTTGTAACTGTAGATGAAAGTAACCCCCCCCCCCACCCACTTTTGTCACAAAAGGTGGCGCTACTGAGCCCCTGCACCACGCCCGTTTCTGAAACTTTGCACATGTCTACTGGCTAATAAATGTGATCTGTCTGTCGAGTTTCATGCAATTTTAAGCAATTTCAGGCATGCTAAGAGTCTCAAAAGCATCCAAAAAGAATATTAAAGTTTGATGCGTTGCCATGGCAACAGTATCTAAGATATCAATAATCCTTTCACAGGTCTACATCTGGCGAGTGTCTACATTATACACATAAAGTTTGAAGCAAATCGGGTAAAAATAAGAGGGTGATTTCAAAGCATTTTGAAAGTGACACACTTCCTGCTGCCAGTTGGTGGCGCTATAACTTTGACTCACAATAGTCACATCCATGTGATCGGCCTCTTACAGCGAACACACTGTTGAAGTTTCATCAAAATCAGTTAATGTATGCAGAAGTTATAACACACTTCCTGTTTCCATTATTCGCCATAAATTCGTTTCCTCGCCATGGCCAAACCGTTCGAGATATCAAAAATCCCCTGGCAATTTTTCATCCTCAATGTCTTGACATCATGCACACCGAGTTTCGTTGCGATTGGTTGAATTCTCTAGGAGGAGTATATCAAATTCCAGGGGCATGCGTTTCCAAACAACCCTAAATAGCCGACTTCCTGTTGGGCTGGCGTAAAACTTAGAGCACGAATGTTGTTCGGCCCGATGACATCTATATGTGTATCGAGTTTCATATTATTACATGTAAGCGTGTTTGATTTATGGACCAAGTTTTCGGACCCCGTTCCAGGGGGCGCTGTCGAGCCCCCCTGCCACGCCCGGGTACCATCTCCAGCCCGGCCCTGATGGCCGCGGGTTCTGACCTGTGTGCAAAGTTTCAAGAGTTTTCGTGCACGTTAAGAGCCCCAAAAGTGCCCGAATAGTCGATAAAATAATAATAATAATAATAATAATCCTAAGGAAAACAATAGGGCCTTCGCCTTTTCAAGGCTTGGGCCCTAATAATCCTAAGGAAAACAATAGGGCCTTCGCCTTTTCAAGGCTTGGGCCCTAATAATAATCCTAAGGAAAACAATAGGGCCTTCGCCTTTTCAAGGCTTGGGCCCTAATAATAATAATAATCCTAAGGAAAACAATAGGGCCTTCGCCTTTTCAAGGCTTGGGCCCTAAAAAAAATAATCCTAAGGAAAACAATAGGGCCTTCGCCCTTTGGGCTTGGGCCCTAAAAATCCGCTGAAAAAGGGGGTGGGCACTGTTTGACTCTATTGTACAGTTGGAAGTGAAAAAGATGAATGAAATTTAAGTTAAATCCATAAAATTTAAAACATTGTTACCATATTTTATACAGTAAAGATCTATCACCCTAATAATGTTTAGCTAATAACTAAGAATAGCTAGCTAGTAATAGTTAGGAATCAACTATTACTAACCCCATTTTATCTCACATAAACGTGTCGATCAAAAATGACAGAAATATTTTTTTTTATTTCAATGAAATTAATGTACTATATTTTAGTTTGATAATGTGTTTTATTTAATATTTTGTATTTTTAGGGGATTTTATGGTACTAAATCATATTTACACTATTTATAATCCATTTATTCACTTTTTTGTCAATCAAATCTTGAATGCTTTAAAGCAGCGGCCCCCAACCTTTTTTGCGCCACGGACCGGTTTAATGTCAGACAATATTTTCACGGACCGGCCTTTAAGGTGCTCCTAAAAACGCGTAGAAAACGCTAGGCGCGAGGTTGCACTCCGGAGGCGTCTGTCGTTGCTAAGCAACCATCAGCTGCGCTCTCCGTTACAGCAAGGAAATTTCAGCAATGGATTTCCACCACCGAAAAACCCTTGCTGTAACTCTGTTACAAGATTTATTTACTAAGAAGAGTAAAAAAAAACGCTGCAGTGTTTGGGTGCAAGACCGTGCAACCGATACTACAAAAAAGCAAACACCATGGGGAATTTCACCAGCTGATTCAGGAGCTTCGCCTGGACAATGGGAGGTTCAAAGCCTATTTCAGAGTGGACAAGGACCAGTTTGATTATATTTTAAGAAAAGTTGGCCCAAGCATCAGTAAACGGAGCTTCTGCCGTGAAACTAACTTATCTCTCCTGCGCAACGGCTCTGTATTTGTCTGAGGTTAGACTATAACTGAACTGAAGTGGTCATAAAACAACAGAAATAGCAAACACATACACATTTATATATATAGAATATAGAACAATTCTGTATAAACAATGATGGATTTAACAAGGAATCAGTTGTGAGCTTAATATTTTTAGTAAAATTATTTTTTACTAGTAATAGTGCAGCAGTTTACAGTGTGGAAGATGATTGGTTGGTTCTTGTCACGTGACCTACAGTGCGCTTGCGGCATTCTGAAAAGTTGAGATGTTTTTATCTCGATGCGGCGCGGACGCGCTTGGAAAAAACGGGCGAGTCGCTTCAATTATGAGCGCGCATACCGCGCGCCTACATTTGAAATAACAAACTTGAGCGCGCAAAAGACACGATATGTGAACAGGTAAATGTGTGAATAAATAAAACGGAAATAATGTAAGTTATTTATTCTTTCTGTGCGGCCCGGTACCAAAAGACCCACGGACCGGTACCGGTCCGCGGCCCGGGGGTTGGGGACCCCTGCTTTAAAGCACAGACTTTTTTATCTCTTTTCAAAGACTACATTTGGCAGATTAGTGAAAAAAGTTTTAAAAAGTGAACTTTTTTAAAAGTTACAGAATTTTACGTTTTTTGACCACGAGGAGCACAGGTGTGACTTTTTTTCAGGACCATTTAACCTGTTCGAATCATGTGTTTATGTGTTCACATAGCAAGTGCCAAAACCAAGTTTCGTACCATTCCGATAAAAAAAAAAAAAAAAAAAAAAAAATTAATTTTTGTTCCGAAGAACACCTGAGGGTTAAAGAAGTTTTCAGCGTTCAATACAAGTTAAGTGGTATCACAAAATAACTTCCCTTGTCCCTCAAAACAAATAAGTAATAAGCAAACAATCTATTGTTGTTGTTGTTAGTAGTCTATTAAGACTTAGTTATTAAGTTAATAACTAAGGATCTTCGCAACGGAAGTGAATCAATCAAAACTAACTTTAGCTGGACAATAATTTTATCCTAATGCTGTTGTAAAGCCTAAACAATTTGTTACGGTAATTTCTATTATAACTGTAAAGCTGCTTTGAAACAATCCATACTGTTAAATGTGCTTTATAAATGGTGACTTGACGTTGTTTTTATTATTATTGGCTACTGTCAAAAATAGCATTTCTTTTTTACTTTTTAAAATGTTACTTTGTAATCAACATATTCCACAAACGCTGTTCATATCATTTGTTCAGGGGTTTGCAATCGATGTGTCCAGAGATTCGACCATCATTGTGTGTGGGTGAATAACTGCATCGGTGCCCAGAACATCAGATACTTCCTGCTGTACCTCCTGAGTGTGTGTGTCATGGCAGGTGATATTGCAGTCCTTACAGCAGACATGTTGCTCCAAACTGTTTTGCGAACTGGACTCCTGCACGCTCACTACATTGACGAGCAGGGTGTGCAACAGCGCGCTGGACCGCTCTTTATCATCCAGGTAATAATAACTTCTTTACTTATAACTGTGCTGTGGTACATGGATTATCTCTCTAATAAATCTTTTCCCATTGCATTCTTTGTACAGCATCTCTTTCTGACGTTTCCACGGATTGTCTTCATGCTGGGCTTCCTTGTATTTGTCTTTTTCCTCTTGGCGGGTTATTCTATGTTTCACATGTATTTGGCTTTGATAAATCAAACCGCCAATGAGTGGTTTAAAGGAAAAGGTCACAACTGCCAGCATTGCCATCCGTACATTGGACACAACTGCCAGACCTCATACAATCCTTTTAGAGGTTTCTATCACAGGGGAATCCTCAAAAATTTGGGGGAAATCTTTTGGCCCATATGTCCTGTTCAGAAATTTAGAAAGAAAGAAAATTAGTGAAACTGTTGTTGTTATTTTTAACAGTGTATTTGTACTAAACTATTTTATTTGGGCAAATGGGATTTTTAATAAATACTTTCTCAGCTTTATGTATTATTGGTATCCCTTCTCTTTCTTTTTTGTTTTATCTGACTTATTTTTTAAGAATTTTCTAATAGTTTCACATTTGCATATATAAGTAAGTATATAGTATATACTTAAACTTGCAGTACTCTCAGGATAGATGCCCATGTTTCATTTATGTTAATGAGAATGAGGCTGTCAATGATATGCATAGAGTCAATTCAATAGAGTACTTGTCACAAACTGCTCAGAGACAAGAAGGTTGAGGATCCAAATGCAGTATTTATTGAACAGGGTAATCCAAAGACATAATCCAAAGTACAGGCAAGGTCAAACACAGGCAGGCGGTCCATACAAACAAACACAACAAGGCAGGGAACACGGGCAAAAGAGGCCCGTGGAGCGGTAGAGGGCCTGGAGACTGAGGCGGAGCAGGCATCCAGGGTGGAGCCGACGCTTCAGGGGCCAGGGCGGATTCGACGGTTATAGGGTGGCGGCCATGATGGGGCGAGACTCTGGAAGGTCGGCGGCCATGACGGGGCGAGACTCTGGAAGGGCGGCAGCCATGACGGGGCGAGACTCGGGAAGGGCGGCGGCCATGACGGGGGGAGACTCTGGAAGGGCAGCCATGACGGGACGAGACTCTGGAAGGGCGGCAGCCATGACGGGACGAGACTTTGGAAGGGCAGCCATGACGGGACGAGACTCTGGAAGGGCGGCCAACTTCCCGTGCTTAGGGAAGTTCGCAAGTGCGTGTCTAAAAGTGGACTGGAACGCAGCATATAAGGGTGGCGGGCTTGAAGGGACGAGACTCTGGAAAGGCGGCGGCCATGACGGGACGAGACTCTGGAAGGGCGGCGGCCATGACGGGACGAGACTCTGGAAGGGCGGTGGCCATGACGGGACGAGACTCTGGAAGGGCGGCGGCCATGACGAGGCGAGACTCTGGAAGGGCGGCGGCCATGACGGGGCGAGACTCTGGAAGGGCGGTGGCCATGACGGGGCGAGACTCTGGAAGGGCGACGGCCATGACGGGGCGAGACTCTGGGAGGGCGGCGGCCATGACGGGACAAGACTTTGGAAGGGCGGCCATGATGGGACGAGAATCTGGAAGGGCGGCCAACTTCCCATGCTTAGGGAAGTTCGCAAGTGCGTGTCTAAAAGTGGACTGGAACGCAGCATAGAAGGGTGGCGGCCTTGACGGGACGAAACTCTGGAAAGGCGGCGGCCATGACGGGACGAGACTCTGGAAGGGCGGTGGCCATGATGGGGCGAGACTCTGGAAGGGCGGTGGCCATGACGGGGCGAGACTCTGAAATGGCGGGGGCCATGACGGGGCGAGACTCTGGAAGGGTGCCGGCCATGACGGGGCGAGACTCTGGAAGGGCGGTGGCCATGACGGGTCGAGACTCTGAAATGGCGGCGGCCATGACGGGGCGAGACTCTGGAAGGGTGGCGGCCATGACGAGGCGAGACTATGGAAGGGCGGCGGCCATGACGGGGCGAGACTCTGGAAGGGCAGCCATGACGGGACGAGACTTTGGAAGGGCGGCCATGACTAGACGAGACTCTGGAAGGGCGGCAGCCATGACAGCTGGAAAGTCTGGAGTGAGGGGTACTGTGAGAGTGCCGCGTTTCTCCTCTGCGACCCACACAGCAAATGTAGAACCGTTCAGTTGCAGGGCCAAGTCGATATAAAATTCCAAAGTCCAATGAGGATTGTGCAGTGGCATGGCTGAACCCGAGCGGCTCAGATAGCCCCCCTCTAAAAAAAATCATGAGGCATACAGTATACTTCAAGTCCATTGAAGTCAAATTTGAAGTCAAACCTCAATAGGACGTTTTCCTTGATGGAGACGCATGATCCTCGCTACTGGATTCATTTTGGTCGGTTGTTCTGTAACGTGTAAGCAGGGACGAAGAGAGGTGTGAATCCAGTTGCAGCTGTATTTATTGAAAATGAAAAGAAAGATAATCCAACTAGAGGGTCAAAACCAGGAGCAGGAGCGCAACAGCTTCACACAACGTGCAAAGACAACAACCGACAAACCAAGACTGAAACACTGAAATCACAGTACTGTCCTAAAGTCATATGGAATATCTCATTTTTATTTTTATCAACATGCATTTTAGTGTTTTTGTTACAAGGATTTGTTTTTTAAACATGTTTCTGGAGGACTAGGAGTAAGACTTATTATGCTCATGTTATCATGTATGAGATTTGGAAAGCATATTATGACTATTATTTAGGATGTGAGGGTTAGATTTATATTTTGAAATTGAATATATTGTATATATACTAAGGTTCATGATCTGAACAAATTATCAAATTTTATTGTCATTAGATAATAGTGGTTTGTGAATGTATTTTGTTGTATAAGTTTCACATTATTGTGGGATTTGTGATTCATTTAGATTATAGGGTAAGAATATATTTTTTATTATTTTGAAGTGAAAGGTTGAATTGAGACACTTGGGGTAAGATGCCTGCCTAAGTATAAATGTTATCTTAAATCAATAAATACATTTAAGCACAAATAGAAAACTGTAATAGATATAACCTTAACTTTTGTGTAATTTGACAGTAAAATACTTTTAAAAGTAGGCTACCTTTAATTTATCTGTAGTTGTCCCATTTAGCCACTTTTTTTTTTTTTTTATCACAAGGGCTTGAGCTTGTGTTAACCACAGGCTATATTTTAAGCATTTAACCCAAAACCCATTAAAAAAAGCCATTGACTTTGCGATGATGGAACCAGAAGTGCTAAAATGCTAACTCTTTTCTTGGTTTTTGCCTAAAAAAATATATATATATATATATTATTATATATATTATTATGCCTCTAGTTAGAAAAAATAAGAGTAATAAGAGAGTAAAATACGTGCACCTTGGCTTTTCCTCACATCCTCGTTTTCATTTAAGAAATTATAAAAATAGAGCCTAACCTGACTAATGGCCTGTTCACGCCAAGGACGAGTTCTCAATATTAAAGATTAGTACAGTTCACACCACAGCTATAACTATAACAGCCCAGAGAAAAGGGGAAAAAATAGGAAGTAGGAAAAAAATACTATGGGGGTCAATGGGGTCCATCAACTGTTTGGTTACCGACATTCTTCAAAAGATCTTACATATCTAACGATTTGAGGGTGAGTAAATGATGACATAATTGTACCTTTAAGAACTATTCCTTTAAGGTCCATTTCATCATGCCATTTTATTAGGGTCACTGGCCCTTTAAACCGGCGCGGAAGTGTCTTACTAGTATAAAACGTCACGTACAGTAGAGTGTCATTGACAGACGAATGAATCGCTAGTGTTCCGTTCAGTTGCAGAAACGAGTCAACTTCGGCTCGCTGTCATTCTCTCATCTCGAGCTAGACAGCGGACTTTTTGCAGATCAAATGTTATTTTAGGACGGGCTGAGGACAAGAAAGAAGATCGCTGTCAAGACGAGAGTAACTTGAGGAATGGCTTCATCTAAGTGTACGAGTCTAAGCGGCGCGCTGATCAGACAGTTACTGGACTCGGTGGACAGTGTGCTGTTTGACTGCGATGGCGTGATATGGCGAGGGGACCAGGCCATCCCCGGAGCCCCTGAGGTTATCAATTCATTGAAGAAAAACGGAAAGCGGGTGTTTTTTGTCACGAACAACAGCACGAAAACCCGAAAAATGTACGCGGATAAATTAGGCAAGCTCGGGTTCGATGCCACCGCGGACGAGGTGTTCGGGACGGCGTACTGCTCGGCGATGTACCTCAAAAATGTGTGTAAACTCGACGGAAAAGTCTATTTAATTGGGAGCAACGCGATGAAGCAGGAGCTCGAGGAGGTGGGAATCCAGCCGGTCGGTGTGGGGCCTGACCCCATCTCTGGAGTTCAAATCGACTGGGCGAATGTTCCTCTCGATAAGGAGGTCCAAGCTGTACTGGTCGGGTTTGATGAGCATTTCAGTTACATGAAGCTCAACAGAGCTCTGCAGTACTTGTGTAACCCCGACTGTCAGTTCGTGGGCACTAACACGGACACGAGGCTGCCTCTGGAGGGAGGCAAAGCGGTCCCCGGTAAGCAAATATCAATGACGTCACAAATATGATTCACCTGAATGTCGTGTTATCATAACGACCTTGTCTTCTACTTATCTACAGGGACAGGGTGCCTCCTACGGGCAGTAGAGACCGCTGCACAACGCCAAGCTCAAGTGGTGGGAAAACCCAATAGCTTCATGTTCAAGTGTGTGGCCAGCCAGTTCGACCTGGACCCTCAGAAGTGTCTGATGGTCGGAGATAGACTGGACACTGACATCATGCTAGGGTCAAACTGTGGCATGAAGACCCTGCTGACCCTTACAGGAGTTTCTACCATAGCAGAAGCCGAGGCAAACCAGAAGAGCGAATGTCCACATCGCCAAAGAATGGTGCCTGACTACTATGTAGACAGCATTGCTGATATTTTACCTGCACTACAGGCTTAGTCAGAATTTACTTGAGATTGACCTACTTTAGTAGAGAATATTTATCAATATATGGGTGTCAGTGTGGAACAAAATAACCTATTTTAATATTACAGTTTAACAGAAATTGTATGTTTTTTCACAAATATGCAGTGTGACTTACTATCAAGGCTTCTTTTTAAACTGGCCTACCTCTTTTTTTGAATATCCCACTGTTTTTAAAGTTAATATAAGGGCTATATGTCAGTGTTATTGTTTGTTTTATTGTTTTATTTTGTTTAAAAAAATAATTTGTGACATTTGTAATGTGTTTTCTGATCAGTAACAATCGGGTTCTACAAAACATGACCCTCAAAATTGTGCTGTTTGTTTTTATTTTATTAGAAGTACTTGTTCAACTCTACTGTTAATTCACTTTACTTGTAACATAAGTGAGAAAATGTTATACATTTTTGTAATTATTATATTTTGCACTTAAATAATAGCTTTGTCGTCACTCTTTAACCCATCAACCTGGTAGGATTTTACTTCTCACTGCGGTTTGAACAAAGTGTTCATCTGACTGATCAAATAAAAATGAATTATTAATTAAAAGTGTTCTTTTTTTCTTAATAATGTACTTACAGGGGTATTTCACCCAAAAGTCTGTCATTATTTACTCATTCTCATGTACAAACCTGAAGAACATAATACCACTGTAAAAAAAAAGTTATCAATAAGTTATGACAACATTATGGTTTTACATTGCTTTAACTCATCAAAATAAGTTAAGCAATTTTCAACTTTTTTTTTATAAGTTATACTCATAACTTATACTCATAAGTTACACTTTTATAAGACTCAACTAATTTTTAAGTCAGTTTAATGTAATTTAAGTTGAAATGCAGCAACTTTTTTAAGTGTAGAAGATATTTTAAGAAATTACATTTTAAAACCATCATTCTTCAAAACGTCTTATTTTGTGTTCCACAGAAGAAAGCAAGTATATGTTTGGAACGACTTGAGTGTGAGTAAAGGATGACAGAATTTTCATTTTTGGGTAAACTAACCTTGTAATGCGATTGCTCTTCAATTTTCTCACTATGACCACATCTGAAGTTATTAAAGTCACCTTGGTCAGTCAGCAGCCTAAAGGCAAGGCCAGTCGATGCCTTAAAACTGTCTCTGCGACGAAAAGCCCTGTCCACAGTGCCGATCTACCTGTCCCCTTTGTCTATTGTCTGGTATAGGGGTAGTCAGCCAGTGGGTTGGACTACCTGGTGTGTGGCAAGAGGTGGGGGGCAGAGGATGGCAGGGAAAAGTTAGACACCTATACTGCAGGCTCTGCTGGTCAGTCTCAGTCATGAACATTGGCTTATACACAAAAGATTAAGACAGGTATACCGTGAGGAGAAGTAAAACAGGGCAGAATGGTGAGGTGCTGGAAGCATTCAGAAGCCGGTCTGGAGGACCCACAGAGCATGGTGAGAGTTAATGTGGTTATATTGTTGTTTCAATTAGCAGAAAACATGCTTCACTCTTAAAAATAAAAGTTCTTAATTGGAATCTATTGTTCTTTAGCATCAATGGAACCTTTCCATTGTTCAAATTTATATACACTGTAAAAAAATATATATTGTTGGTTTTACTTAAAAAAGTAAATAATCTGGTTGCCTTTCAATTAATACAATGAAAGAGATTGGTTTAATCAACAGAAACTCAAAATATTAGGTTATCTGAACCACATAGATTATCCAAGTAAATTTTACAAAAGAAAAAATGTTGTGATAACAAACATTTTTTTACAGTGTAGTGAAAAATGGTTCTTTAGATTATTAAGATGTTCTTAACACTAAGAAAAAAATGGTTCTTTTAAGAACTGTTCATTGAAAGGTTCTTTGGGGAACCCAAAATGGTTCTTCTATTGCATCACTGCAAAACCAACCTTTTGGAATTTTTATTTTTAAGAGTGTAGCACAAATATGTCAGTTTGTGTTTTGCTTAGCTCTGTTTTATGTCTTGCTTATGTGTACAAACCATAAATATTCTATAATGTGAATGTGCAATGGCCTTAAATGTTACTCGGAGGGAGATGAATGTGTGTTTGGATTTTCTAGCACTGTGGTCCCATCAGCTCCTCCAGGGTTCCTCACAAAGTTCTCTGGTGCAGTCTCACTGCCATGCTGCTCATTGTTATCATTGCTCTCAGTGTGACGGCACATCTAGGGCTTCAGCACAAGACACAAGTAAGAGTCTGAGCATTTCAAAATGTGAACATTTTCAAGCTTCATTAAACACGTTAGCACTGAAAACAAACCTTTTTCCACAGTCTTCCCTGCAGGTTGTCAGAATTCCCGATCACATGGGCGACTTGATCAATCAGTCGGCTTTGATTGACAAGCACAACAATGTAGTGACCTACTCTGTGACTTCCCATGTCAACTACACCTCCACTGTGATTTTTGACATGAGACATGTAAGACTCTTTTCTTTCTGCACAGATTAGGCTTTTCCTCTAAAGCTCGGTTACATTTCCCTATCTCTCTTCCTCAGGGGTTGGTATGCTATAAACCTGACAACCAAGACAGCTGCTTTCTTCGCCGGATGGAAAGTTTGGATTACGAGAATGTGCAATCTCAACTAAACAAGACGGAGCAACAGGTAAAAGATTTCTACTTGTCGAGCTTCCTAGTTTTGTGCCAGACCAAAAGATCTGATATGTTAACCTGCAATAATACATTATATTAAATATAGAATATATACATACACACAACCGTTCAAAAGCTTGGGGTCAGTAAGGTTTATTAAATTGATCAAAAGTGACAGTAAAGACTTTTCAAGATGTTTCAAAAGCTTTCTTTTTAAAACTTTCTATTCATCAAAGAATCCTGAAAAAAGACAGTATGACAGTTTCCACAAAAAATACTAGGCATCACAACTTTTTTCAATATTGATAATAGTAAAAAATGTTTCTTGAGCACCAAATCTGCATATTAGAATGATTTCTGAAGGATCATGTGACACTGAAGAGTAATGGCTGCTGAAAATTCAGCTTTGCCATCACAGGAGTAAATTGTCGAGTCTCCTATTTTTACCATATGAATGAGAATGCCAATTGCTACGGCGTATTTAACCGGGTCACATTCAGCAGCTAAGACCCTATATGCCATTTAAACGTAAAGTTGGCTGGCAAATTGACTGACACTTGAACGCAGCTCCACCCCAGTGCTCTTGGGAAGATTAGAGAGCACTTTTGGCTGCTTTCTCCTCCGTGACTCCTGAAAGGGAGTAATGGACCGCACCAGCTCAGGAGGGTTTTAGTGTAGCCGAGTCCGAATTCCACAGACCATCTGATCCACCTTGGCTGGATCGCGTTACAGGATAGGACCACAGGGTGCACAATGGCCACTCTGTTGGCTTTTTCCTCTTATAAGTCACTACTGGAAAGACAGAGCTCCCGTCCGCAAACAGAGCAGAGACCTGTGCTGGACACACTTCTCTCAGCACTTAACAAGATTCATGCGCTGGGTTATGATCTGTGCAGAATGGCATGGGTTGTTGAACCGATAAGTATCGCTGACCACTTAAAACGTTGGTCTCGGTTGAGATTTTTGCATCATTGCGTTTGATTAAAGCCATTAGAAAACTTTTTGGAAACTCAATCCGTGGTCAATAGCCTTTTGAACAAGATTTCCAATTTTTGGTGCACAATGAGCTATTGATAGGCATAAACTGCTTGTCTCAGGCTCGCTCAAGCATCAGTCCGCTTTAACAAGTGTCTATCTGATCTCTCAGTGGAGTAAGTGGTGTAATTACAAATGGCTTTTGTACTAGAGGAAACACTTAAACCCCTCAGACACAATTATACATTTAAGAGTTATACAGTGTTTGCGTTCACACAGGAACAATATGGTGAGTCGGTATCACAGCATTAGAGGATAATTTACTCTGCAATGATATACAGTGAGATATGTGATGATTCTCACAGGTTCGTCAGGTCTGGGTGGTGGGAAATCAGACTGAAAAACACACCGAGTTTTTGGGAGTGCTGCCCGGCAGTCGTGTTGAAGCTTCCACCCTTCAAGAACCTCTTCAGTCCCTCTGTCAGCAGGCCTCTGTGTACTGGACTAGAAGATCTGATGGTAAGGTTATGTCAAACATGTATTTACTCATCAAAGAATCCAGAAAAAAAGTATAACAGTTTCCTCAAAAATATTAGGCAGCACAACTGTTTTCAATATAGATAATAATGGCATCAAATCAGCATTTTAGAATGATTTCTGAAGGATCATGTGACACTAAAGACTGGCGTAATGGCTGCTTGCTCTTGTTTCTAAGAAAAGGGATCATGTTGGCATGTCCATAAACCAAATCATTACTTTTCTATGATACATATTCTGACCTTTTTCTCTGTGACTTTTTTTTGGAATTCTTCGTCCCTGTTTCTCTCTCGTTTTTACTTCCTTTACTATGCGGACACTAAAGCAGGAGCAGGTTCTCTACAACCGACACGCCACTCACATTGAAATTCAACTTTGCTATCACAGGAATAAATTACATTTTAAAATAGAAAACAGTTGTTTTAAATTGTGATAACATCTCACAGTATTACATTTATAACTGTATTTTTGATCAAATGAATGCAAGACTTTCAAAAACATAAAAAAACAATGAAATGACAGCATTTGTGGCATAATGTTACAGTGAAGCATGTACAGTGGAAGTGGCCAATTTTTTGAGAAATATAGTGAATATAATTTTAGACATTTACCCCTAGTTTCATAGACAAGGAAATGCATGTTTGAGCTGTTTTAACTGAAAGCAACTTGCACTGATATATCTTAAAAGATGCCCTTGTTTGGTCTCAAGATGCACACCAGTAATGTTTTTTTTCAAAGGCACTTTATTAAAGCTACTTAAATGTCCTGAATTGAACTGAAGGCCTAATCCTGGCTTAATCTAAGCCCTGTCTCTAAAACCAGGCCATAAACACTTACATTAAACCTGCATTCTTGTGTTAAAACGTTTGTATTACTAACCTTTTTATGGTTGTTTTAGGTGTTACGTTGCCATGGCGAGAAAGTTGTAAATTTGGGTATAACTTCACACAGGAAAGGTAGAAAAGGGATTTATTTTTATTTTACACTGAAATCATGTTAAAACGCAAAGTTTATATCTTGTTGCTATACTACTGAAACAGTGAGTACTTTGTCATTTACAAACTGGCCCCATTCACTTCCATTGTAAGTGCCTCAATGTAACCCAGATTTAAAAAAAAAAAATTAAAGAAAAGGAGAAAATACATTTTAGTGGTAATTAATACCACAAATGCTATACTAAGCTAAAATTGTACTGTACATTGTACGTTTAAATAAAATGTTAAAACATTGTATCAATTGATTTTTGTGACAAGAAATGTACAGAAGACATTTAACAAGCCAAGAACATGCTGAGTTTCTCAATAAAGAGCACAGTGTGACAGAAACCTGATCCAGTATTCCAGTTAGATGGAGTTGTGACCTTTTTAGAGTGACAACCAGCAGAGCATGAACAAGGAACAGGACATTGATTATGATTGTCAGCGGCACATCTATAGAAATAAGAACCTTGAGATT